TTGACAAGTTAGTTAGCTTTGACAAGTTAGTTAGCTTTGACAAGTTAGTTACCATTATTTACAGTGGGGAAGATCGGTGAAATGTTTCACAGTTATCGGCCCGGTTTTGTTTCTTTCCTTTCTTGGGAGATGGGCGTCACTGGCTGGGCCAGCATTTATTGCCCATTCCTAATTAGTCAGAGGCCAGTTATGACTCAACCACATTGCTATAAGTCTGGAATTGCATGTAGGCCAGACCAAGTAAGGACTGAAAGGAAGGATGTCCTGGCCTTGGAGGGGATCCAGAGGAGGTTCACAGGATTGATCCTGGAAACGAAGGGTTTATCATATGTGGAGCGGTTGAGGACTATGGGTCTGTACTCAATGGAGTTTAGAAGAATGAGGAGAGATCCCACTGAAATGTGCAGAATGCTGAGAGGCCTGGATAGAGTGGGTGTGGAGAAGATCTCTCCATTAGCAGGAGAGACTAGGACTTGAGGGCTTAACGTTAGAGTGAAGGGGCTACCCTTTTAGAACTGAGATGACAAGGAGCTTCTTCAGCCAGAGGATGGTGAATATGTGGAACCATCTATAGGAAGGATGATTTTACTTTTGGAATTGTAGTCCTGAACAGTCTCACTTTCAGGAGAGCTCAAAATTGGATATTTTAAGTACAGTCTTGAGAAAATGATGTTGCTTTGCTAGGTCACATTCATATTTGTTGTTAATAATAATGTAAAACTAACACTTGTGATTGATTATTGGGTCATAGCGTCATAGAGTCATACAGCCTGGAAACAGACCCTCTGGTTCAACTCGTCCAATACCAACCAAATTTCCCAAACTAAACTAGTCCCACTTGCCTGCATTTGGCCTGTAACCCTCTAAACCTTTCCTATTCATGTACCTGTCCAAATGTCTTTTAAATGTTGTAACTGCACTTGCATCTATCACTTCTCCTGGCACTTCATTCCACTCACAAACCACCCTCTGTGTGAAAAAAGTTGGCTCCCCAGGCCCCTTTTAAATCTTTCTCTTCTTGCCTTAAAAATATGCCTTCTTGTTTTGAACTCTCCCTACCCTAGGGAGAAGACCTTTGCTGTTCACCTTATCTGTGCCCCTCATTTTATAAAATTCTATAAGGTCAACCTTCAAACCTCCTCCACTCCAGTGAAAAAAAGTTCCAGCCTCTCCTTATATCTCAAACTCTCCAGTCCTGGCTGTTTCCTTGCAAATCTCTTCTGAACCTGCTCCAATTTAATGATATCCTTCCTAGCAGGATGGCAAGTTCTGCACTCGGTACTCCAAAAGTGGCCCCACTGACAATCTGTATAACCTCAATATAATGTCCCAACTCCTGTACTCACTGGTCTGAGCAATGAAGACAAGTGTGCTAATTGCCACCTTACCCACCCTGTATACCTCTGTTGCAACTTGCAAAGAACTATATACCTGAACCCCTAGGTCTCTCTGTTCGACACCACTACCCAAGGCCCCACCATTAACCATGTCAGTCTTGGCCTTGTTCATCTTAGTAAAATGCAACACCTCACATTTATTCAAATTAAACTCCATCTGCTGCTCCTCAGCCCATTGGCCCAATAGATCAAGACCCCTTTGTAAT